CAGCTTGTCTCCCAACGGCTTCCACAGATCTGATCTCTTGAGCGGCTCCCACTAAATGCAGGATGGAGACAGGGGAGATGCAGGTGCCCAGGGTGCAGTGCGGATTCTGGCACCCCCACTGGATGATCTCCCTGCAAATGAGAGAGGCGTATCTGCCTACAGTGTGTGCGGGGAGGTATTAGAGAAGAAGAGGGGTGAAAGTGAGATGTGAATGGGGGATGCAGAGGTTAGCTTCTGTGGAAGATGGCTGAACTTAGCACTCTGTGTGTAGCAAACACCTGAACTTTGCACTCTGTATGCAGCATACATCTGAACTGTGCAGTCAACATGTGGTGCATCCCTGAACTCTGCACTTTGTGTGTAACTCCACCATACTCTGAACATTGTTAGTGAAATTTGACCATAACCACTATTTGATGCGGTTTGGATGGTGTGTGTGTGGGGGGGGGGGGGTGAGAAAGTTGTGGTTTAGTTCCCGCACCTATTTTGTGAGAAAAAAAGTCCTGCCTCTTCCTATGTCCATTGGTGTCCTCTATAGTGGACATGCCCTGCATTCATTGGTCTTTACCACTTCTCAGTGGTTACTTATATCCAGGGGCCGCTTCCTATGTCCATTTCCTAATCCCTGTTACTGCTAGTTGCCTCCTATGTCCAGTGCTCACACTTTATTTCTAGTGTGGTCAGTTACCCTACCCTTTTGCATCAGTGCTGCTTTCTGTTTTGCACCACCTTGTCTATTCACCTCTCTTCTTTCCATGCCATTTTGTGTAATAGCTCTTTAACTGTTTAGAGTAGTGTGGATATCTCACCACAGTAATCTGGTACCTGTTATTTTCTTTTAAGTCACCAAATCACATAGCATAGCATTTCTTTATTGGTAGATTACATTTAAATGAATACTTCTATTTTTTTTTTTCTCTATCCACATACATTACAATGAGGTTGTACAATATGTTATGTTTAGGTTGAATGGAAAAAAAAATAAAAACATCAAAAATACAATCAAGAAAATAGTAAGCAAAAATTGCCTAAAAGATGAGGTTGTAAGCTGAAGCTAGCTGTATAACCTAGGTCTAATGAAAAATTTCCCAACATATCCAATCATTGTTACCTAAAGTCGTATGCAGGATGTGTGTTTAAATTTATGTAAACTGCAAGGTGTATGCACAGTGGTGTAGGAATATGAGCAACTGTGCTGTGTGAAATGAAAATGTATGCGTTAGCAGCTCTTTACATGGTTATTGTTTTTATAGTTGAAGCAGTGGTATTTTTTTCACATATACGTGTACATTCGTGAAATCCTGGATCTCATCTATTCCTTTGTTTCTCTCCTTTTTATTTGCCTTTATTTCTATGTCTTCCTCCCTTTCATTATTTTATTTGTTCCTTTACTAGGTTTCCTTCAGACTCCCCCTCTTCAGCAGCCTCATTCCCCTGGCCAGACTCAGCCCTGACAGCTTTAAGCTGCTATGTGCACTGAACGTCTGGCTGTGTTAATATGATTTATAGGGACAGTATAACACCAGGCACATTGCAGTCTGTCACTGCAGTCTCTCTGATTAAAATTCTACTCCCTCCCCGACTGCAGCAAGCCTCAAATGGAATATTCTACATAATTTCCAAAAATGCTTGTTTTTATCAGCCATTTCTCCAGGATCAGGTGACCCAAGCTTCAGTGCTAGTGACTCCCTAGCTGTGCTTTGGCTTTTTACTAGGTCACATTTATCAGGTCCCCAGACGACTTTATCGCCTACCTCTTAACAATTTTCATGCTGGAAAGGTTTGCAAGACTAGACTGTGCCAAAGCAGCATATGAGCTTCAGGAAAATGTAAGAATGGTCAGCAATAAACATAAGATACACTATAATCCAGTAGTATAACCATGCATGTCGATATAATTACTTTGGAAGTCAGAGGTCTGCTGTGATATACTGTGGGAGCAGTGTAGTCATTACATCCTTTTTCTAAGAATTCTATTCAAAACACTATAAACTACTGCTTGTAAAATAATCTCATTGCCTTTCACTGCAGGTTAAAAGGCTGTGGAACACCACTCTGGATCGATAGAAAAATGGCAGACTTGGCACAACGCAGCACTGAAATGAATTCAAATACCATTTTTTTTAGTTGTCTACATTAGCGTTTGAAAAGCACTTGCTTCAATTGACTTGTACAGCTCATCTAACTTCCATTTTTACTTCTGTGTTCTCATAATATGGCACTCCACCTCTTTATCAAAGTGTCAGCTAGAAAACGTCAATGTTGCCTAAGGCATTTAAATGTTCCTTTTGTTTGAACATAAGAATTTGATTGGTTTCTGTGGGCAACACAACTTCATTTTGGAGTCTTTTTTTACCTGAGCCTAATTTTACCTTCAAAATTATTTAATGAAAACACCAAAAGATTTGTTTATAGTGTTTCCAAAGTAACTAGGAAACAAAAATAGTGCTTTTATTTTTGTAGGCTGACAAGGCAGTAATTGTTCAGTTATCTGTTTTGTTAACTATATTTTACATATAAGTTTTAAATATGTAGTGCTACCTCCACAGGGACCACTGATTTTACCTGGTTCTCCTCCAAACAGCACAGAAGAAAGCCATCCACCCAAGCAACAGACTATACACTCCAGCTCCAATAACACAGTCTAGGGGATGTCTTTTTATAATGTATTGCTTGAAGAAACTTTAACAGGAGAGGGGTAAGGGTATGAGACACTCCAAAATGATCAGTACTTAGCAATGTGGGGTCAGCCTTCTCTATAAAGTGTCATTAAATCACAACACAAAAAACTATCAAAAAAATCTGTATTAAATGCTGTTCCTACTCACTCATTCACAATGGGATTAATTTTCTGTATTCTGCAAAAACCTGGCTGATCCTGCTGTTCTTAATCCCTCCTTTTGACCAAGTCCCCAACACAGGTCAAGACTCTGCAGAGCAATGGTGACAACTTCTGCACATGCTCAGTTTTCAGTTTCTATGCTGAGCATTTGCTCCCTATAATATCTGAGCAGCCCATGTGACTATAGAGTCACACATGTGGGCGTATACACAGTGGTAAATGACAGCCCTTTCCCTCCCTCCTCCTCCATGCCCACTAACCAGCTAAACACAATGGGGGTAGGATATTACATGTAGATTGATGGAGACTTTACCTACCTTTATATATATGTATGACGATTTAAAAAACCGTTTATTGATATTAATTATTTATTTTTCATCTGTATCCCAAAGGCTGTTTTGTTTATTTTGAACATGTGACCAGCAGCAGACGATTAGAAGCTCCTCCTGCTTACGTTTTCCCTGCAGACAGGCTGGGAAACAGCTGGGACTTGTTAGAACTGTTTATCCATTAGGAAAAAGGTACTTAGATTTTTATTTATTAAAATAATTACAGTGCCATCATCCATATACAGACAGAGAAGGGAGAATGTTAATTAAAAAGTGTGTGTTATGTATCACTTTAGGAACTGTGAATATTGGACAATCTAAGGCCTCACAACTGGGGACCATAAGGCAAGTGTTTTTGGCATTTCATTATCCTGCACCACTGCACAGCTATTTTGTACCCTGTGCAATCTCAGGAACACTGTACAGTACAGGAAAGCACTCTTCTCTAAGGACAATGCTGAGGATGGTGAATGGCCAGTATGAGAGACCCTGTAAAAGCTGTCTCAGTCCATGCAAGCTCTGTCACTTGCATCCTAAAAGCACACAGTAATCTATTCAGGGTCATTACTTACAAATCCCCAGGACAGCTGCCACCTTCCAGTTTCCCCCAGACATGATCCTGTGAGTGAGACAATTCTTCTCTAGACCAGATCCCTTTGGTATTCAGGTTCCAGCTCTGCCTCTGCTGAGACCTCAAAGAACAACAACACTCCACAGGCTGCCTCAGTGGCAAGAGCCCCCTGAGGCTTGGAACTGTCTTCCCTGGGGAAAGACAATCCAGAGCTTCAGGTTATTTATCTGCTTCCCAGCCACTGTCTGGGCACACCTCCTCAGGGATTGGCTAAGCCCTGATCAATACTTGTGCTGGTTATTTCAATTCTCCTTCAGCTCTAGAAGCTTCTTCTTGAGGCAGGGGGAAGCAATCAAACTTCAGCCTATGAGACTCTGAACAGACCAGACCAAACATTCACTGCTCTTTTGATTGCAGACGGAGCCAAAGAATAAATTTACCTAGTATCATACGCTAATAGGGTGCAACATTTAGAAGCTTATGCTTTTGTTATCATTTGTTGAATTATTTGTATAAAATCACTACTTTACAAATACATTTTTAATAAAAGGGGAATCCATGACACTCAGTTTGTGAAGCATGGTGGGGTTTAAAAAAACAATCCTATAAACTTGCCTGTTGGTAGCCTGTGAAACTAAACCCAATGGTTTTATCTCTGTTAAGCTGGACATACATAGGTCAGTTTTTTTCGTTCAGTCAGCAGATTGAACGAAAAAACTGACCTGAATTCCCCATCCACATACTCGATGTAGAAGTGAGAATCCTCCCCTCTGTGTCATTGTATTCTGACATATATAGATTATATTAGAAATAACCTTCTATTGAATATAATAAATAGTTTTTAATTTATATGTCATTGCTATTAATGTGAAGTTATTACTTGTGAAGTATTATTTATTTTCTCCCTCCCCTCCTTTTTTAGCTTTTGTATTCCTTTACGAGTACTTTATAATAATTTTATCTTATTTCTTATTTATGAGTTATTAATAGTATTCAAAAAGTAATAGTAATTGTATTTAAGATCATTTTAGATATGTCATGAATTATATTCATGGATTTATGTTTTTAGCCTTGTAGAAGAGGGACGTTTATAACCCCTGAAACATTCTCTTTTTTTTTCTTGGGGATCAAAAAATATTATTCTGGGCTTTTATAAATGGAGTGGCACTTCTATATCTTATCCTATAGCAATTAGAAATAAGATATAAGAAAAAAAAGGAAAAAGGAAAATAAAAGTTTTGGCTTTACATACACTTTAAAGTGCATGTGTATCCAGGCTATTGACACTAAACTATTCACATACACTATATTACCAAAAGTATTTGGACGCCTGCCTTTACACGCACATGAACTTTAATGGCATCCCAGTCTTAGTCAGTAGAGTTCAATATTTAGTTGGCATACCCTCAGCAGCTATAACAGCTTCAACTCTTCTGGGAAGGCTGTCCACAAAGTTTAGGAATGTGTCTATGGGAATGTTTGACCATTCTTCCAGAACCGCATTTGTGAGGTCAGGTACTGATGTCGGACGAGAAGGCCTGGCACGCAGTCTCCGCTCTAGTTCATCCCAAAGGCGTTCTATCGAGTTGAGGTCAGGATTCTGTCAAGTTCCTCCACCCCAAACTCGCTCATCCATGTCTTTATGGACCTTGACTGGTGCTCAGTCATGTTGGAACAGGAAGAGGCCACCCCTAAACTGTTCCCACAAAGTTGGGAGCATGAAATTGTCCAAACTGTCTTAGTATGCTGACGCCTTAAGAGTTCCCTTCACTTGAACTAAGGGGCCAACCCCTGAAAAACAAGCCTACACCATAACCCCCTCCACCAAACTTTACACTTGACACAATGCAGTCAGGCAAGTACCGTTCTCCTGGCAACCACCAAACCAGACATGTCCATCGGATTGCCAGACAGAGGCATGATTCATCACTCCAGAGAACACGTCTCCAACTCCAGTCCAGTGGCGGCGCCACTTGGTGATGTAAGGCTTGGATGCATCTGCTCAACCATGGAAACCCATTCCATTAAGCTCTCTACGCACTGTTGTTGTGCTAATCTGAAGACCACATGAAGTTTGGAGGTCTTTAGCTATTGACTCTGCAGACAGTTGGCGACTTCTGCGCACTGTGCAGTTCAGCATGCGTTGAACTCGCTATGTCATTTTACGTGGCCTACCACTTGGTGGCTGAGTTGCTGTTGTTCTCAGTTGCTTCCACTTTGTTATAATACCACTAACAGTTTACCGTGGAATATTTAAAATCAAAGACATTTCACGGATGGACTTATTGCAAAGGTGGCAACCTATCACAGTACCACGCTTGAATTCACTGAGCTCCTGAGAGCGACCCATTCTTTCACAAATGTTTGTAGAAGCAGTCTGCATGCCTAGGTGCTTGATTTTATACAGCTGTGGCCTGTGATTTGGAAGGGTGTCCCAATACTTTTGGCACTATGGTGTATTTTTAGCTAGTAGTAAAACAGTTTTAAAACAAGCCAGCCTTGACCTTCCCTTCAAAATTAATCCAAAGGCATGGAGCTATGCATGCTAATCTGTAAACATTCTTCAGTCATTTGAAACACAATTCTTTATTTGTTTACTTATATTGAATTGATTTCCCCTTCCTGGTATAGAAATGCTCTAGTGAAGTAGCCAACACCTCACAGGTGCCCCCTGGGGAGGCTACCTTACCAGGGCCATCCAAGGAGAGCTCATTTCTAAACCGCGAGATCTTGCAAGATCTCAGGAAGAATAATAGATGTCATATAGTGCATGTGCCTCATTTCATGCATGCATTGTATGGCATTATAATTGTCTGTTGAAAACAAGATTGCATGAGATCTTGGAGGGAAAGGCCTTTTTTTCAGCAGATGAGTTTGATATATTATACTGCATGCACAAAATGAGGAGCAAATGTCATCAGTGGGTCAGCAGAATAGAAAGGAAGAAACCGGCCACAGATGTCCTTTTAAAAAACATGTTGATGCAGTTTCTTACCCACTGGAGGAACAGAGCTCTAAGACTTGGGAAACAGATCAAGAGGGAGGCAGGTGAGTACTACTAGTTGAATACTTTTAGATTCATGGTTCACATCATGAATTGCACAGAAATGCACTGTTTGATTTACTTTTGATCTGGATGCAGTGCGATTTCAGCCCATTCATTTGAATGGGCTGAAATCACACCAGCCCACACAAAAATGTTGGGCAATTTTCCAATGATCGATGGCTGTGTATATCTGACTGTGGCAGGTGCTACTGTCAGAATACAATGTCACACTGGTGGCTTATCCTTCATCCACCTTGTTTGTGTAGATGGAGGAATCGGTTAGCTAGGGTTTTTTTTTGTTCATACCTCTGGCTGATTGAAAAAAAAATAACCGTGCGTGGCCATCAGTAGAAACACTTGGTGCTTGTTTACATTAGAATGCTGGCAGGTTTCCAAGATCTGCTGTCAGAAAATAAGCTAAGGTTTCAGTGCCTTTGCAGTACACTTTAAAAATGTATTTTTCCACAATGCTCTTTTAGATAAAGAGATGAATAAGAGTTTTTTTTAATGTGCTTTTACTGAATGTTCAGAATATGTAGATACTTGTGTGTGCATGATCTTGGTAAAATTCACTTTAAGGAGCCTTCAGATAGACAAATTCTGATACAGTCTACATATCATTGTGACCATGATCTACACAGGCTTATTTTACAGTTTTTTTTACATCACATGGGAGTTTTAATTCTCATTTCTAATTAATATGATCTGAAAGGGCACTGCAGTAACTCTCTCTACAGCTTTGAGAGTTGGGTGGGTTACCAATAATTTAACTAAAATATGTACAAAATATTTTTTACCATATTGGTTCCCATAAACAAGGACAATTTCCTAATTTATAAATTTTACTTTTTTGGATTGTGCAGTTTTTTTTTTCATTTTATGTGTATATATTTAATTTTTTATAGTGCATAAATATTGAGGCTTAAAGCGGTTGTAAAAGGTAATTTTTTTTAATGAGAATAATAAACAGGGTATACTTACCTGCTCTGTGCAGTGGTATTACCCAGAGTACTCCTGAACTTCCTCTTCTGGGGTCCCCCACCAGCGCTGTCTGCTCCTCCTTTTCTGTGTCTGCCCCATAGGAAACCGTTTGTTATGGGGCAGAAGATCAGGATCGCTCCATAGACACATACAGCGTGGCTCAGCCCCATCCCCAGCTCCCTTCTCACAGGATTTGATTGATAGCAGCAGGAGCTAATGGCTCCCACTGCTGCCTCTTTGTCTTCTCTGCCTCTCCTCTTGTTGAAATGACCACCTAATACAGACTGAACCCAGGGTCACATGCACAGTTTGGTGTGTATTGCAAGAGAGAGGTTTTTTTTTTTTTTGCCTTTGGAGGGTGCATGTGATCAGCACAAGAGCAATCAGAACTGTCCAGAATGTCCAGGTCAGAGGTTTCACATCCTCCTAGAGCAGAAGGAAAACTCCTTCTACAAGCTTTAACCAGTGCTCTGCTGAAGTCACCAGACTGCTCTAACTGCTGATGAGAAAAGGTATTTAGCAGTTTATATTTACTAAAATAATAGCATTTCCATGTTCTCTGTACTGTGGGAGATCAGGTATAGTGAATGCAGGGTCCTGGGTTTAGTATCACTTTAATGCAGGGAATCTGAATCTTACGACAAATATTTCAGTTTTGAACTCAAGTGCTTACACTTAAGCAGTTGAATATTCTGGTAATCCTACTTGCTTACTGAGTACAAGTAGAGTTTGTCTTCTTGCTGGCTATTCTCTATATTTTGTCTCAGGGGTTACCATACTGCCATTGCAGCTTGGGTCCCAGGTGCATTTACAGCTAGTGGGGTGTGACAAGGGGTATGTCCTTTGTCTACATACCTTGTGCTAAAAAGTATCCCTCTTTCCCATCCTAAAATGTCGGGAATTATGTGACATGTCTCTTTAAAAAAAGAAACTGAAAAGAAAGCTGTGATCAGTAGTATTAACTTTTCTTTTATTATACCACCACATTCTACATAATGGTTTTATCAACTAAGTGCAGGATTCTGGACAGCACATTAGACTGCAACTTCAATATGTCAATTTTTCAAGTACAGTTTTTTTTTAAAAAAAGCATGACACTATCAGGCACATACTGTATTTACTGCTTTGTAAGTGTTCTGCTGTACGTTTACCTTGTACGATTCCATTGCTGATTTGTTTTATATGCTTCCTATTTCATTCATCTGAACACTGTAGATATTGTTTATTTCGTTTGCCATTATTTATGACACAGTAGATGACAGTACTCTGTGTTGGTTTCCACCCACCTTGTCTATCATCTTCCCTCATCACAGCATTCAAGGACAACACACAGTTATTGTGCGCCAACATTGCTAAAACGCACAACTTGCTTGTTTTGGTTTTTTAACCAAGAATACGAATATTAATTGGTAATGTTTGTAGCTACAGTTTTTATCACTGTATTTGTCCTGGGATCTGACCTGTTGATCTTGCCAATAGTTCCATTATTTTTCCACTTTGTTTAACAGGGTGCTAACCATTGTAAAGTTTTCCAAGCCCTGTAATTTATCACTTTTGCTTGATAGTTTGGATCGTTCTTTATAGGAATTGGCAAAAAAAAAAGCCTCATACACGTGATGAGAATATCGGATGAATGATTTCACTTTTTTTTGCATGCTAGTTTCCATGTCGAAAATGAATAGGTAACTAAACTTACGAAAATTCCTGTATGACAAAATACAAATTTGAAAGTGATGTAATGTATTGTATTTTCGGACAAAATCTGTACTGATTAACCACTTGATGACCGAGCTACAACTGAATGATGGCTACAGTGTGGTCATCTAGTTCTGGGAGGGCGTCAAATGACGTCCTCTAGAACCGCGCCTCCTGCGTGCCCCCTGGGGAACACACCCAGCAAGCTCTGTGATTGCTGTGTCCTTTGGACACAGCTGATCACATGACATGACCAATCACAGCGCCATTTTACCACATGATCAGCTGTGTCCAATGACACAGCTGACCACAATGTAAATACAGTTGCCGGTTAATGGCTGCAGTTTCCTCATGCTGTGACAGAGAGAGGAGAGACGGTAGTCGGCAACTGTATATACACATCAGGACATCACTGCAGCCCCAAGGGAACATCAGTGCCACCAGTCATTGTCCATCAGTGCAACCAGTCATTGTCCATCAGTGACGCCAGTCAGTGCCATCTATGAGTGACCTTCAGTGCCATCTATCAACGCCTGCTCATCAGTGCAGACTATCAATGCCCATCAGTGCTGCCTCTTAGTGCAGCCTCATCAGTACCTGTCAGTGCA